TCAGCCTCCCATGGCACGGGATTACAGGCTGAGGCATTGAGCCCGGCAAGACGACTTTCTAAAAGTAGATCACTGGTCAGAGTTTTTGAGTTATGAGAGCCACCCTAGAGGTTTCTTTTAGAAAAACAGTTACTACTGGCAGCACATTTCAGTGACACAGAATGGGTCGCAAAACTTGCTTACTTGTGTGACACAGTCAACTAGTTAAGTTAAAAATCTCAGTAGAGGTCTTCAAAATGTTAGATCAGACCTGATGGGGGGTCTGTCTGTGATCACTTGCCACACAAAAGATGCAAAGAACTGCACAGAAGTTAGATTTGGAAAAAACAGTTTATTTAGAAAGTAAATTAGAGGGGAGGGATGGAATTCACCTCTCCAAGGTAGTGGGGGTGGCCAAAGCTAAGAAAACATGGCGGTCATAGCTCAAAGAACACATTGCCTGGCCAGTGCTTAACAAAACAGTGGTAATGGCTGTCATAACTCAATGAATACATAGCCTAGCCAGAGTTTAATGAAAGCAGTGGCCAATGGTTGCTTGAAGTCGAATGCTTTTAAACCTTCCCTTTGATGGGGGCAGGTTGTTAAGGTAATTGGGTGATGGTCCTTTTCACGTCATCACAAAGGAGCAGGTGAGCACAGGTACTAATGTCAGGAGATGGATGTCAGGCAGATGGATGGGCTAGTCACATGACAAGGCAAAGCAGTGTTAAAATGGCTGCTCTTTAGCTATAATGACCCCATCTTATGTCCTTTCACTGCTCAAAAAACTCAATCTGTCACTTCAGGAGAGAGTAACAATCGTGTTCAAGTTGGCAGATAAAGTGGCTACGTTCAAAACCAAAGTGGAATTTTGGGGATCAAAGGTGAACACTGGGATTTGTGACATGTTTCAAACCTTAGCAGAGATACTGAGCCAGGGTCTTCTTTCTCCCAACTGGTGCATAATCACTCAGCTCAGCTTTCAAAAGCATTATTTTGCCAACCACAAAAGACCCTGAACTGGGAAGAAACAGATCCGTGACCCATTTGTGAAAGAGCCAGGTAAATCGACTTGGTCCATGCTAGAAGAGGATCAACTGCTTGAGATCTCAAATGACAGTGGCCTTAAAAGTATATTTGAGACTTCAAATCTCCACATTCTGGATTAAAGTCAAGGAGGAATAGCCTGAGATTGCCACAAAAGCCCTGAAAAGCCTGCTTCCGTTTCCACATCCTATCTTTGTAAGCAGGGTTTTCTGCAGTGACAGCAACCAAATGAGATTACAGTGTATACTGGACATAAGTAACACAAGTTGGGCATCGCTGTCTTCTATCACTCCCAGACGAGACTGTCTATTTGCAGGAACACAAGCTCAGGGCTTGTTTTTATTAATTAAATAATCTAATTATACATTACAATGTAATAATAATGGAAACAAAGTGCACAATAAATGTAATGCACTTGAATCATCCCGAAACCATCCCCTCCTTCCCTCTCCCATTCGTCTGAAAAAATTATCTTCCATGAAACCAGCCCCAATGCCAAAAATGTTGCAGGAGTGAGGGCCGAGGTGGTGAGAGAAGCAGATCAGTTGGGCAAGGTCAAGCTCAGGAAAGGTGAGGCCTAGCACATGAGAATGAGGGGCTGGTACGCCTTGCCATTTTCACACATTCAGTCACTATCTGCTAGGTACAGGACACTTTTCTATATTTTGTCTCATTTAACCCTTTACAGACTCAGAGAGGTAAGGGAGTAGCACAAATGTATCGGAATTGAGATTTGAAACTATATACACATTGAGCACCAAGTTCTAATCTAGGCACCCAGCAGCACAATTGATGGCTTGCTCTTTTTCATGTCTGGACCCTCACAACTCTGCCATGATCATCCTTGTGTCCTCACCCGCTAGCTGACACTCCTAGTTAGCTGTTTAGGGGGCTCTGACAGTATCCCAACCCGAATCCCGTCCAAGGGAGAACACAGAAAATGGGCTTTTTGTTCATCATCTCTAGCTAGTGTTTTCACAGGGAGGGAAACTATCATTTCCTAGGCGAGTTGCACGGTGCAAGCCCTCAACGGCCAAGGAAGACTAAATCTAGGTCCTTCCGACTCATAGGTCCCCACCATGTCAAAACCCTGCTGGCTCTCATCTAAGTGCTCTTCCGTTAGGACAGGAGGAAGATGAAGGTGAGGAAAGCGATGACCTCTCAGTAAGTTCAGGGTGGGGCAATGAATGGCACAAATGAATTGCTTAAACATTTTTTGATAACCTCATCCTTGGTGCTGGGGAGGACTCGGAAAAACGCAAGTCTGTTTTGCGCCCAGGCTGGCTTACTGCAAGTAAACGGGCAGGGGCATCTTTTGCCTGCCGCTACCAAGACCCCGAGGGCCTTGCTCCCTGGACTCCTCAGCCTCCCCCCCCTTATTTCCTTCGAAGTGACCGCTCTGCAGACTCTGGAAGGGGGAGGAGCTGACGCGGCGCCTCTTCTCAGAAGCTCCCAGGGCGCTCCCGGGCTGCGGCAGCACCGGCAGCGGAGGTCGTCCGGGGCCGCGAGTCCAGGTGGGGTCGGGGGCACCGGGTTCATCAGCCCCCCGCCCCCACGCTATCTTCGGAGGCGCCCCGCGACTGCGCGGCTCAGCAGCCCTCCA